GATACGGTCGATTACATTCACAAACATGGAGACTTCAAAATGCGAAGAGGAAGACTTATACTTTAAAATACCACGTCTACTTTTTTATGAAGAGCAAAATCTTCGTAGCTACATAACCTCAAAAATGGGGAAAAACAGCATTTTTTGCACTTTAAGGTTAAGATATCTCAAAGTCCTGACGTGATAGAGCAATTTAAACCCCGGATTCGGATTCTACGCAAAAAATTACTTCGGAAATGACACTACACTTTTATAGAACATTCCGAACCCATTTTTTTGCAGACCTGTGTTATCATCGCGGTGAGTTTTGTCAGTGTGACGGAATAGGGCTGTTAGATAAATTATTAAGTATTAACTCAAAGTGAAATATGTTTGTTGATTTAATAGTTGCAAATCCCATTTATAAATATAAATTCATGCACCGTATATNCGGTGAGTTTTGTCAGTGTGACGGAATAGGGCTGTTAGATAAATTATTAAGTATTAACTCAAAGTGAAATATGTTTGTTGATTTAATAGTTGCAAATCCCATTTATAAATATAAATTCATGCACCGTATATGAAAATCGATATTTTCGATGCATTGAATGAATAAAAAAAAATGTGCAAAGAAATTGAACAATCAGAACTTCGATAAATGTTTAAGTATAAACTGAAGGTGGAATATGTTTATTGATTTAAATAATTGCAAATCCCATTTATAAAAATAAATTCATGCACCGTATATGAAAATCGATATTTTCGATGCATTGAATGGATTAATAAAAATGTACAAGGAAATTGGAAATCGGAACTTCGATAAATGTTTAAGTATAAACTGAAGGTGGAATATGTTTATTGATTTAAATAATTGCAAATCCCATTTATAAAAATAAATTCATGCACCGTATATGAAAATCGATATTTTCGATGCATTGAATGGATTAATAAAAATGTACAAGGAAATTGGAAATCGGAACTTCGATAAATGTTTAAGTATAAACTCAAGGTGAAATAGATTTATTGATGATGTAAAAGTAAAGATAATTAATTTATGTTCCAGTTGATGTACATACGTTATTTGGTTTTTTATATTGTGTATATATTTTTTTTAATGACGTTCATCTAAAATTTGTTTTGAAAAAGGTATTTAAATTGTGTTTGAATTGTCAGCAATACTCTTCTAATCGGTCAATCGGTTTATTGGTATTCTTATAAGCTGCAAAATCATATTTATAATCTAAAAGACATTAATACAATGAATACAATACAATAATTTAATACAAAATGTATATTTCGTGAACATTCATTCGCATCAGCTGTCAAATTGAAATATATCGATGTATATTGAAGAGAAAATACTATGGTTTTATTCGATGATTCGAATAGCAAACATCAATGTTTCCAATGTATCGATGTTTTTGTGTATCGATGTTTTTGTGCATCCCTAACTTGCCTCCATTTCAATTCTGCAAATTTGCTTGCGTTTATTTTACACAGGTAAGAATATAGTGAAAATGTATACTATTAGTGTTATACAAGTTTGGTTTTGCTTACTGAATTCTTCATATATTATTACTAACAATGAGCCCAAGTATTGTGTGGCAGTACTACGATAAAAAAGAAAAAGGAATTGCGATCTGCGTAAAGTGCGGGAAATGCTTTAAGTACCACAGCAGCACAACCACGTTAAAAAACCACGTAGAAAAAGTACACAAAATTAAAATGGAGGTAAAGGAATTTAATTTATATATTTCAATACCGAAAATTGTTCCATTTATTTATAGAAAACTGACATCATTGAGCTTGTGGACAACGATGATGACAATNCTATATATTTCAATACGAAAAATTGTTCCATTTATTTATAGAAAACTGACATCATTTAGCTTGTGGACANGGAAGTGCGGGAAATGCTTTAAGTACCACAGAAGTACAACCACGTTAAAAAACCACGTAGAAAAAGTACACAAAATTAAAATGGAGGTAAAGGAATTTAATTTATATATTTCAATACCGAAAATTGTTCCATTTATTTATAGAAAACTGACATCATTGAGCTTGTGGACAACGATGATGACAATGAGGTATGAGTTCCCTAGGGTTTAATTTGTAATACATATTTAGGGAGTTCACAAGGTGTTGTATACTGTCGTACTGTTGTATGTCATAAACTTTAAACGGTTAAAACTATACTTAAGGAATTCGCAAGCTAACATAAAAGTTTTATTATGAAATTTCACACAGTTAAAAAATAGTTGGTCGTGATTTCAAGTCCTCTAAACATTTATTTAGCCGTTAATAACTTTACAACATACGACAATACGACAAGTACGACACCTTGTGAACCACCCAATTGTTACTTTTCTGTTCACACAATCTTACACAAACTTACGCATGATTTGATTTCCTTTATTAATAATATTTATTTTTTAGCCGAATCAAAAGAAGTCTAAATCTGTTTACCCAATACGAAATTCCTTTGAAAGAGCAGTATCATTTTCTGGTGTGTATGCATTAAAGAAATTTTACATCTCAACTTTTGAAATTTATTAAAGTTCTATAATTATTGTAATATTAGATAAGAGCACCAAAGGGAAGGAAATTTCAAATGCGTTATTGTATATGATAGTTGTGGACGACATGCCACTTTGTACACCTGAAAAAAGGGGTTTTTTAAAGTTCTGCAAAACGTTGCAACCTATGTATAAAGTGCCTACTGAAAAAACAATGACGTCAAAAATTGAAACCAAATATAGTGCAATCCGATTAAAGGTCAAAAACGAACTCAGTCAGGCGAAATCTGTATGCCTGACATCGGACATATGGACAAACTCTTCGACTATGCAAAGTTATGTTGGATTAACTATACACTTCGTTAAAGGTTAGTTCCTCCTTTTTATCTGCGAAAAATAATTTTTGTAGTAATTGGTTTTTGCCTGAATATTTTCACTTATCACAAACTGGAATCACGGGATATGTAAAGAATAGAACCCGTTGAGCTAGAAAAAGAAAAAGTGGATGTGGTCGGCCTTCATCCATTTATTCTGACGGTATAAAAAATTGTTGATGCAAGTTAAAGTGTGTTAAAGGCTGTTAAAGTGGAACTTTTGATACATGATTGGTAATAAAAAATGTTCAATAACTAAAATAATGAAATTATATATCAAATTAAAGGTATTTTTATACTCTTTCTGATAAAGATATCTTTTATTACAGTTAATTACGTATTTTTTTAGAAAGACATACATTTTTATTAAAAAATGGTCATAATTTGGTCTTTTTAGTTTTTCTCGAAGTATGTATGTATTATGTATATGATATACATATCAGATGAAAGGTATGTCAATTATGCTTCCAACCATATCCACGTTATTGAAAATTCCACTTTACCTTTTTACTTTTCTACTTGTTAAGAGCTCGTACATTGAGGCGTATNTATATCCACGTCATTGAAAATTCCACTTTTACCTTTTTACTTTTCTACTTGTTAAGAGCTCGTACATTGAGGCGTATTCTGGTTTTCGTACGAATCGAAAATTTCAAATTTTTGTATATGAAATGATAGGAAAATTTCAAGATTTTCAATTCGTACGAAAACAAGAATACGCTCCATTGTTTTTTTTTATAAATTTTAACAGAAAACGATATGGTTTGTGTGGAGCTTGGAGCTTTTCCAGCTGATTTTAAAAAAGACATAGCAAACAGTGTTGCCGCGCCGTCCCAAGAAAATGTATCACCGACCAAGCCAAAAATGTATCCAATTTTCTTTTTTTACGTATCCATCTCATACTTTGTAAGAAAACCGAACATTTTGAAGGAAAAGACATAATTTAACCCATCCTAAGAACTTTGAATACGTGTGTATATATTTTTATATTTCATAAAATCAAACATTTGCAATTTCCATTTAAAAATTACATCTTTTATACACAAGTATTTTGCAAAGTAAGTATAAAAAATAGTAATTAATATGTTACATTTGTACGTGTACACTATGAAAAGTGTGTGTAAAACTACTACTGAAAAATATCTATTTTTCAATAGGAATCTGTATAAATATACATACGTATAAGATGTTCAGGATTCGATTTTGAACTTGAGATCTTTAAAATATACACATAAATATACACATGAAATGTTTAAAGTTGCAAAAAGTTTGAAACTAAAAAAACATTTCCTACAAATAATAAACATTAGGAGCTTACATTTACTCTATTTTAAACATTTTATGTGTTATTTTGTGCTCTGCGACAAATTTGGTATGTTAAAGTAAACAGGTTTGATTTTGTTACACGGTGTGCAAATTTGCACACATTAAAAGAGGAAAATGGTTACCTTTCTTATTATGTGCAAGTAAACAAAAAAAAAATAGAGTGTATTTAAAGTCTTTTCAGTAAAATTCATAAAAATTTCCTTAAATAAATCAAATTTAGTTTTTTAAACAGTGTATTTTAAACTACATTGAGATCTTCTTTCTTTTTATATTAACAAATGAAGATATGTGATATGAAAGAGATATATTTAATTTATATATATATATATATATCAAGATCTTGCTTAAAGCATTTTTTCTTAGCTAACTAAACAGTTGCTCCTAAAAGCTTAAACAGACGGCAGCGTTGATCGGGATTATTTGGGACTCAATCCGGATCAACTGCAGTTAATTCCCGAGTTGGTCGGGATTAACTGGGACTTAATCCGGATTAACTGCAGTTAATTCCCGAGTTGATCCGGATAAACGCTGCCGTCTGTTAAAGCTCTTATTACACTGCTTTGGTGAGATCTCTATATATGTTCATTGCTTCATTCACAAAAAATAAAATGCTCTAATTTCACGCTTAAGTAGCGATTTTTATAACATTTGGAAAACGTCATTACTGAAAATCTATTTTTGAACGAAAAAACTTTATAGAAAATATAAAATTTTGGCCTATTTAAAAAAGTATCCACATTTAT